AAAAAAAAGAACAAAAAACAAAAACAAAAAAAGAGAGGCAGATATGGTGGAGATGCAGATGGCCACATGAAGACAGCTGCTCAGGTACTGGAACGAGGTAGCCAGAAGCCCAGGAACAACCAGGACCAGGGCCACCTCCAGACACTGCGGACAGATTCTGCGGACAGATTCTGCCCATGGCCTCAGAAGGAGCCAGCCCTGCCCACATCTTGATCTAGAACCTTCCCGAACTCACAGATAAAACATGCCTGCCCTTTCTGGGCTCTGCTCTGCGTAACTGTGTCCAAATCTCAGTCAGTGCACAAGGCCTGTGAGACTGAGGTATGACTGATTCATCTTGTTACTGGTTTGTTTTTTGGTTTGTTTTCTTTTTGGTACTAGGGATCGAACTTGGGTCCTTGCGCTTGCAGGGCAAACGGTGGAACCACTGAGCTAAACCCCCGGCCCTTGACTTATTCATCTTAATCTAATCACATGGCCAATGGCCATTCTTCCAGCTGGGTGCATCCCTGTCATCTCAGCACTGGGGAGGCCGAGGCAGGAGGATCGCCAGGAGTTCAAGGGCAGCCTGGACTACATAGCAAGACTCTGCCTTTAAAAAACAACAAAGTAAAGCAAAACAAAAAATAAAAAGGGCTGTAGATGGGGATGCAGCTCAGTACAAAGGCTTTGGGTTCAATAACCAGCACAAAAAAAAAAAGGGAGAGAGAGAAAAGAAAGCAAGCCTGAGGAGCACGTCGGAGTCCTATCGGCGTCTGATGGTGGCTGCACCAGGACAAGTGATGGTGGTACTGCCAGTGCTTGGGCTCCCACCCCCAGAGCCTGTGCTGAACCCCTGCCTGCCCCTGCCTCTCTCTCCCTGCAAGGTCCCTTGGTCCAGCAGGGCCAGACTCCGTCCCAGCCGGGTGAGGAGATGACACCTTGTGTGCTATGTGGTGTGCCTGCCCCTGGGTCACCACTGATGATGGCGCCTGGCAGTGTGGACCTGGCTGTGACCTATGAGGCCTTGTGGTGGGGTAGGGACACCAATCAGACTCCTCCCTGGGGACATGGGGAGAGGAAGCAGCAGAAATGGGAAGTGGCAGAGGTGTGGGGGGGCATTGCTGTCCTGGGTCACAGACATGCGCCTTGCTTAGAATAAATAGCCACTTAATGCACAACGAGGCCATACTCTTAAGTGAAATAAACAGGACACACGTGTGTAAATACCGAATAGTTTCTGTGGGGTGAAAAACTAAAAGTGTAAATAGATTATAAGGATCAAAATGTATAACTGATATCGTGAAATAGGAAGAAAAGGTCTAAAGGGGTAGGGAAAGGGGGAGAGGTAGGGGAAAGAAAAGAAAGGAAAAGAAAAAATATGAGAAATGCAAAAAATGGAAACAAAGTCTTTGTAAATAGGGAAGGGTGGAGGGGGTGAAGGGAGGGCAGGGGAATGGGGAAAAAATAAGAACCAAGAGACTCATGCAATGGTACAAGATCCCAATGATGAATGTCACAGTATTGTATACCTAAAATGTACCAATAAACTTAATGGGGAAAAAAAAAAAGAATAAACAGCCACTTAGACTAGCACAATAAATACTATCAAAGCCCAGCACTTATGTTTTTCTTTTGGCTTAAATCGCTGGAGTGTTTCTTTCATTCCTGACCAATGAGCCTGCTCTTGTGGCCTGTCCCCTGGGACTCTGCCCTGGTGACGTGTGTCTCCTGTGGCTGCTGCAGCAAAATACCAAAAGTGGTGACTCAGGACCACACACAGTGATTTGCAGGCCCCAGCTACTCAGGAGGCTGAGGCAGGAGGGTCATAAGTTGGAGCCCAGACTGGGCAATTTAGCATGATCCTGTTTCAAACTAAAAAATAAAAAGAGTTGGTGACACAGCTCAGGGCCAAGTTCCTGGGTTCCATCCCCAGTACTATAAAAAGGGGAGGAGGCAGCAGGAGGTTGAGGGGCAAAGAGGCTGAAGAAGTTCTCTTTCCCTGGCGCCTTGGGAGGAGCAGGTCTGTACCTTGCCTGGAGGCCCTCCTGATTGAGAGAATAAATGTGTTTTTTTAGTCACTGAGTCTGTGAGGATCTGTCACAGCATCAACAGGAAGAAGCAGGAGAAGCAGCCATGGTGCTGGTGACACTCATAATGCCCTGCAGGGCAGAGTCACTCGTAGGTCCCTGCACTGTGTCACCCAAGTTGCCTTAGGGCTTTGGGTGCTGGGACAAGGACTTAGGACAGCTCAGTGTTAGAGGGGAGCTAAGGAGATAGGAGTAGCCCCAGGGCCCAGGGCGGGGAAGGGATGAAGCAACTTCTCAGCAGTTTGCAAATCGAGCTATCAAGTCTTTTGGGAGTGCACAACCATCGTTTCAGCATCTCAGCACTCGGGGGAGGCTGAGGCAAGAAGATATCCTCGAGCTTGTGGCAGAGGGAGACCTCACAAATGGTGGGTAGATATGTGACAAGGTACAGCCCCAAAGGAAAGGTAGCCATCCCTCAAAAGATTGAACAGAGTCACCATGTGGCCCAGTACCACTACTCCCAGGGGTCGCTCACAGGCACAGAGAGCACACATCACACAAGCGCAGCCACTGTGCTCACAGGGGCACCACTGCAGCCAGTCGTGAGGTGGAACGGAGCCCCAGGGGTCCTGGAGCTGGCCTGGGCCCTGCTGCATCAGCACTGCCTGCCACCTGACTTTGATGGGCGCTTCACAGCTTCCTGGGGGAAGACGCCATCTCCACCCTGCAGATGGCTGCCCTGATGCCAGGCTGTTCCCCTGGCACAGGGACACCAGCTGCGTGTGCTTTGCGTGGCATCCTGGGCACTGCAGGGTGCTGAGCTGCATCCCTGGCCTCCACCCGCTCCAGGCCAGGAGCTCCCGCAGCCTGACAGCCACACGTGTCCCCAGACATGGCCTTCTGTTCCCTGGGGAAGCATCTGTGGGGAAACCCCCCAGGGCTGGAAGGTGACAGCTCTTTGAGTCACATCTGAAGCCACACAGCTGTGAGACAGAGGGTGGCCAGACCATGCAGGTCACATACCCCCAGACACCCCAACTCTGAGGTCGAGATGTCCACCATCCCGCCCTAAAGCTAGTGTCCCCTTGAAGGTCCCCTACAGTGCTGGCTGGATGGCTGAGTTCCTGCTGGCCTCTCTGCATCTCGGAAGGGCCAGCCCCGACCACCACCTTGGTGCTTGGGGACAGATCCAGTGCTGTACAGCCAGGGACCCACACATGTCACAGCTCGGCCACTCACTGCCATCTATTGGGGGGACAGAGAGGAAAGCTCCTATGTCCCCCACGAGGCTCCTGTGTACTGGGTACCCTGTACAGAGTCCCATCCTAGTTTTTAAACACCATCCCAGCGGGATGAGCCACAGCCTCATTTTACCTGGGGCTGGGGAAGGACAACATGAGGCTGACGCTAGGTCCCTCAGCCACTCAGTGGGGCGGAGCTGGCCACCCACTGGCCTCCACCTGCTTCCTTCTCTTTCCTATTTTTTGTTTTTGTTTTTGTTTTGTGTGTGTTTGCAGTCCTGGGGAATGAACCAAAGCCTTCGTACTGAGCTACATCCCCAGCCCTTTCAAAATTTTTTTTGGGGGGTGTATCCTGAATCAAACTCAGGGTCTCACACTTGCCAGGCAGGTGTTGTGCAGCTGAGCTACATCCCCGCTCCCCCTTTAATTTTTACATTATTTTGATCACTTTTTTGTTTTGGTACCAGGGATCAAACTCAGGACCTTGCACTGGCCTGGCAGGTGGCGGCACCACTGAGGTAAATCCCCACCCTTACATTATTTTGCAACAAGGTCTTGCTAAGTTGCCCAGGTTGGGCTCCAACTTGCAATCCTCCTGCCTCAGCGTGCTGGGATGACCTGCATGTGCCACCACACCCAGCTCCCCTTCCTGCTTTACCTCTGGTTCCTCATTTGTCATGTACAAACTTTCCAAAGCTCAGGGAAACCACAGAACAACTGACCCCACCGCCCAGTGGCGGCCCTGTTTCTTTCAGGGCCTTTCCAGCGACAGTTCCGGGGGTTCCCTCCAATGATACTTCTTGCACAGGGCAGGCAGGAGTGGGGCCCCTCATCCCCCACCCCAGCAGCAACCCACTGAGCCTTGGCCTGACCAGGCCAGCGAGTATCTCTGGGGCTTGTCTTTACAACCCTTCATGCCCAGCTACAGACTCCCAACCAGACTGTTCTAGAAAACAGGGTGGCAGTGAGGCTGGCAGAGTCCCTACTCATACTGCTGTCTCCTCTCAGAAAGTAGGAGAGCTAGGTATGGTGGTGCACACCTGTAGTCCCAGGACTTTAGGAAGCTGAGGCAGGAGGGTCTCAATGTAATGAATGACTTGACAAGACACTGCCTCAAAACAAAAAACTAAAAAAGGGCTGGGGATGTGGCTTAGTTCAAAGGCCCTGGGTTCGAGCCCCGCCCAAAAGCAAAGAAAAGTTGGGAAAAATTTTTTTTAAGGTGAAAGTAATTATTTTCTAGAAACTTCTATGGATAGGCAGAATCCCCATCAAAAGCCAACACTCAGGGCTGGGGATTTAGCTGAGTGGCACCGCGTCTGCCTCATAAGTGCAAGGTCCTAAGTTCAATCCCCCCCAAAAAAGCCAACACGCTTCTGTCAGAAACAAATGCACAATACATGGCCAAGGTATGACTGGCCTTCCCCACAGACGGGCCCTAGGCCACAACCTTCTCACCACTGTCCCCAAAGTCCCAGTCACCGTTTCTTGGTCCTCTCCGATCGATCTCCCAACAGCTTCTCAAAACTGGATGTTAACAGCTCTTGGCCCTCTGGGTTTTCCCACAGATGGACAACACTTGATGACACTGGAAGCTTCTAGAAGGTCAAAAGGTAAGATGATAAACTCCTCTGCCCTAGCACCCTCCCTCCTTTTCCCTTTTTTCAGAAAACAACACAGCACAAGTTGTTCTTCTACGTGAACAACTGTCCTGCCCCCTCCCGGGGCTGAGGTGTGGCAGATCTCAGCTCACAGTCACCCACTTCCTTCCGGAACTTTCCACATCCTGCTGCAGCAATGGGCAGCCTGAGCTCAGAAATTGGCTCTATAATGTTCTTGATCACTGCAACACTGGTGTCCAATACTGGGCTGGAAGAACAAAGTCGGACCCCAGAGTTGCCCCTCTCAATCTAAGCGGTAACCTCGGATCTAGGGGGGTGGCCCAGTGATAAGTGCTTGTTTGCTCAAGGCCCTGGGTTCCAAACCTAGCACCACACAAAAATAAAGAAACAAATAACTCAGAAATTGGACACACAGGAGAAAGGTGATGTGAAGACAGAGGGAGAAGATGGCCATGTGTAGACAGGATTGTAGTAATGAGTGTGGTCCACACTTGTCATCCCAGCTACCTGGGAGGCTGAGACAGGAGGACCCCAAGTTTGAGTCCTGCCTGAACAACCTAGGAACTCAGCAAGACCTCATCTTAAAATAAATTAAAAAAGGAAGCTGCACATAAGTGGTGCACACCTGTAATCCCAGCACTTGGGAGGCTGAGGCAGGAAGATTGCTGTGAGTTCCAGGCCAGCCTGGGCTACATAGTGAGTTCAAGGATAGCCTGAATAATAGCAAGACCCTGTCTCAAAAAACCAAAAACAAATAAACAAACAAACAAAAAGGGACTGGGGGTGTAGTTTGGTGCTCCATGAGTTCAATCCTTAGTACTGAAGGGAAAAAAAAAATGGTGCCAGTCTACAGGGCCTGTTCAGTGGCTTTTTTTTTTTTTTGGTACCAGGGATCAAACTCGGGACCTTGCGCTTGCAAGGCAGGCGGAGGAACCACTGAGCTAAATCCCTGGCCCTTTTTTTGTTTGTTTTTTGAGACAGGGTCTCGCTCTATAGTTCAGGCTGGCCTTGAACTTGCTATGTATCCAGGCTGGCCTCCAACTCGTGGTGATCTTCCTGCCTCAGCCTTCCAAGTACTGGGGTGACAGGTGTGCGCCACCATGCCTGGCCAGTACCATTCCTGACACTCACTCTGGGATGGCTGACCCAAGGGCTTTTGCTGTTATTAATGATCCCAGCAACCCAGGCTGGGAGCCAGAAGGGACACTTTCATGAGACTGACCACTTCTGGTCAGGCACTTGCCCAGCCTGCAGATCAGGAAACAGGTCAATGGTCTCTCCTGAGCCCAGGTGCATGAAGTCTGAGGGGCTGAATTTGAGCCTCAACCCTTAGGATCTGAGTCTGGTGCATCTTCCACTAGACCAGGGTCCCCAGGGCACTGCGCACACTGTGTTCGGACTGCCTCTGTGAGGCATCCTGGACACGGCAGGGTGCTGGGCAGTGTCCCAGCCTCTACCTGCTCCATGCCAGGAGCCCCCCTCAGCCCACATGTGTGACAGCCACTCGTGGACCCAAACACCACCCATGGATCCCCGGAGCCAAACTGGATTCAGGTTTGAGCCTCTGGGTTTGCCCAACAGCTTCCCCGCTCTGCACCAGGGACTCCCTGAGGGGCTCCCCCAGCCTGGCCCACATCTCTGGAGGTCTGGCCTGGCGTCCCCAGCTGCCTGGGCATTTCCAAAACCCATATCCACAGCCTGGGTACAGATGGCAGACTGACACTCATTTTTTTGGTTTTCTTTTTGTTTTTCTAGTACTGGGGATGACCCCAGGGCCTTTGCACTGAGCTACACCCTCAGCTCTTTTTGTTTATCTTGAGGCAGTCTTGCTAAGTTGCTGAGGCTGGCTCCAACTTTCCGGCCCCCTGCCTCACCTTCTCAGACTGCAGGGATGACAGGCGTGTGGCACTGTGCCCAGCTCTGTCTTGATTTCTGAGGGTAGTTGGGGCCCAACTCCCCAACTCAGCAACCTCTGATGCTGCCTTGACTTGCTCGCACCCCTGACTACTGCCCCTTCCTCTGAGCTCCACTGAGTGACCTGGGTCCCACCCTCACCCCTGCCCCACCCTGCCCCCAGCTCGGGACCCTGGCTTGTCTGAGGACACCTTGGTTGTCACTGCTGGGGGAACTCCTAGCCAGGGACTCTGCTCAGCACCCTGCAGCCCACATCCCAGAAAAGGACCCAGTCCCAGCGTCCACAGTGCTGCGTAGGCCCTGTCCAGAGCCCCACACCAGTAGTAGATACCAGTTCCTTACTAACCCCACCCTATGAAAGAACAGGGCATTAAATGCAGTAATGTGTCCAACATGGTGGTACACGCCAGTCATCCTAACACACTGGGAGACTGAGGCAGGAGGATCACAAGTTCAGTTACAGCCTAGACAACTGAGTGAGACCCTGACTCAAAATGAAAATAAAAAAGGGCTGGGGATGTAGCTCAGGGAAGGCCTTGGGTTCAATCCCCAGTACCACAGAAACAAATAAAACACATGTGATATTTTAAGGAAAAACAAAATATCAGCTCAAATCAAACTGGAGAAGATCTTAGAATAAGGTAAGCAAGATCTGTGGGAGATGTGAGATTAATCCTGAGCATAAGGAACGCAGCCCCCATCATCCCAGGCTGGCCCAAGTTGGTCAAGGGAGCAGCTGCTTCCTGTGTCCCTCCCACAGCCACAGGCTAGGGAACAGTGACAATCCCAGCTGGAGCCTCTCAGCCAGAGACCTCTAGATGTTTGCTGAACCTAGGACAGTGCGGCCTAAGCACCTAAAAAGAGGGGCCGGGGATTTAGCTCAGTGGTTCTGTCGCCTGCCTTGAAAGCACAAGGTCCCAAGTTCGATCCCCGGTACCAAAACAACAAAAAGAAGGGGCCAAATGCTGGGCATGGTGGTGCACACATGTGTGGCAAGAGGATCACTGCAAGTTTAAGGCCAGCCTTAACTACATAGTAAGATCCTGTCTCAAAAACCAAAAGAAGGGCCGGGGATTTAGCTCAGTGGTTTCGCCACCAGCTACACAAGCAAAAGGACCTGAGTTCGATCCCCGGTACAAAAAAAAAAAAACAACTCCAAAGAAAGGCCATAATCTTAAGTGAAATAAATAGGACACACATCTGTAAATACCGAATAGTTTCTCTGGTGTGAGAAACTAAAAGTGTAAATAAGGATCAAAATGTATAATTATATATGTAAAACAGGAAGAAAAGGTCCAATGGGGTAGGGGAAAGGAAAGAAGGGAAAGGAATAAATATGAGAAAAGGAAAAAATGGAAACAAAGTCTTTGTAAATAGGGAGGGGTAAAGGAATTGAAAGGAGGGCAGAGGATGGGGGAAAAAAATAAGAACCAAGATATATCATGTAAAGGTACAAATTCCCAATGATGAATGTCATCATACTGTATACCTAAAATGTACCAATAAAATTAATGGAAAGAAAAAAAGAAACAGGCCCTGGTGTGGATGGACAATTAGTGCTCATTCTGTGAAAGAAGAAGTTGCTCAACAGTGAATATTAGGTCTTTTGAGGGGCGGGGGTTACTTGGGATGAACCCAGGGCCTTCTCAGGGAGCTATAGCCCCAGACCTTTTTATTTTTTATTTTGCGTCAGGATCTGGCCAAATTGCCCAGGCTGGGCTAGAATTTGTAATCCTTCTGTCTCAGCCTCTAGGATGCTGGGATTGCAGCCACATGCCACCCTGCTCAGCTAGTCTGGGAATCTTTATGATAAACAGACATTTAGTTTTCTGGTCTGAGCACCTAAAAAAAAGTCATTCTGAGAAAATCCAAAGGAGAACGGAGACTGGCATGCAGCTCAATGGGGAGCCCTCGTCCATTCCCAGGGCTGAAAAAAAAGGAAAGGAAGAGAAGGCAAGGTGTGGTGGTCCCAGAGAAAACCGAAGCACATCCTCTTCCGGGCTTGGAGTGAAGGCCTCCTGCCCAGCATCGGATTTCTCAAGTGGGATTTGCCTTTTCTGGTTAAAGCATCCAGACCCCAGAATTCCAGGAAAACAGGAACCGCACCCATCAGCTGGGAAGGCCCAGAACTTCCCACAACAGGCCCGGCACTGCAGCCTCCACGCTGAGTGGCTTAGAGGGGACCCCCACAGGACAGAGAACAGAAGGCGGACTTTTCAGAGGACCTGGGGACTTTTTACACATGACACAGACCAGTCCACTTGATTAAAATATGAAAAGTACCAAGTTCAGGAACTGAAATAGCGGTTTCACAAACCTCCTGAGAGAGGAGCATAATGGGGTGTTTTTTTGGTATCGGGGATCGAATTCAGGACCTTGTGCTTGTGAGGCAGGTGCCGGAACCACTGAGCTAAATTCCTGGCCCTAGAGGAGCATAATGTTCTTCCCTGGGTTAGATCTCTGGCAGCACACACAGACATACACGCAAAAAATAACACAATGAAAAAAAAAAATTCAGCTCTTGCTTTTGGTGAAGAGGAGAGGGAGGGAGGCAAAGCTTAGAATTCAACCCTCTAAGGGGTTGAGGATGTAGCTCAGTGGCGCTGAACCTGCCTTGAAAGCCAAAGGTCCTGAGTTTGATTCCCTGTACAGAGGGGAAAAAAAAAAGAATTTTGCCCTCTGGGAGGCTGAGGCAGAAGGATTCCAAGTTCCAGCCTATCTGGGGCAACTGAGACCCTGTCACAAAAAATGAAAAAGGGGTGGTGATGTAAAGGGGGGGCCTTGGGTTAATCTCCAGTACTGAAAAGAGAGAGGGAGATATACGCTGAGGTGCAGGTGTAGCTGGAGGTGGGTATGATTTGGCTCTAGGGAAGGGAAGGACACTGGGGAGTAGGGGACAGGGGCAGGGACTCCCTGGAGTTTCCCTGGTCTCATTGTATAATCAATCAGCTGACATGTCAACGAATTCTAATGAAAGATGGGGTCAGGCAGGTGCAAGCACCTGGATTCCTTGGCCCCCAGCACCTTTCCTGTCCAAACCTCCAGCGTCACTCTCTCCCAGCTACTGCTGCCCTGACTGCCCAAAACACAAGCATCCCGCAACTTTTTTTTTCTTTTGGTACCTGGGATCGAACTCTGGACCTTAAGTTTGCCAGGCAGGCGAGGTGCCACTGAGCTAAATCCCCGGCCTCCTTCAACTCTGTAGTGAAGGAAAAAGAAAAAAAAAAAAAGCTGACCCGAAAAGGAAGTGGATCTCACAGAGCAGAGGAGGAAAGCTAGTCTTGTCTCACAGGTCAAAACCGCGGTGTGGACTCCATGCTGAAGGCATGGGGGGCGTTGGATGGGGACTCTGGCCCGTGGGGCCTCAGGCAACTGCTCTTCCGAAGAGCCGGGCTACTAAGACCTCTGTTGGGCTGGTCACTGCCCCCCTCTAACAAGCAAGTGTCAGCAGATCTCTGGGGCAGACTCGTGAGATCCCTACACTCTGGAAGGCTGAGGCAGGAGGATCACAAGTTCCAGCCCATCCTGGGCAACCGAGCAACTCAAGGAGGCACACATTCAAAATAAAAAGGGCCAGGCGTGGTGGCGCACACTTATAATCCCAGAGCGCTTGGGAGGCTGAGGCAGGAGGATCACCGCGAGTTCGAGGCCAGCCTGGGCTACACAGTGATTCAAGGGCGGCCTGAACTACAGAACGTGACCCTGTCTCAATAAACCGCAAAATAATTCACACCGGCTCTGTCCGGGATCTGTTTTCTGCTTTGTGACCTTATTCTGCAATCTCCCCCGCCCTTTCCCCCTCCCAATGAACTATAAAGCAAACTCAAGCCCCAGGGTCAGCCAGCACGAGGGGCGCCGCGGCACCTGCTCCGTGGCTCTCAGGCCCCAGCACAGAAAGCCGCTAATGAAAGCCCGACCGACACCCGACACCCACCTCGTCGTCTCACGCTGCCGACCGCCTTCGCCTCAGCCTCGGGACTCCCACGCCTGCCGCCGCCCGCGGAGGGACTCTTCGAAGGCCACGCCCCTGCCGCACCCGCGGGCCGGACCTACTTCCCTGAAAGGACCCGTTTCCGAATGAACTCCAGGCGTCTGTGCTCCTAGGCTGCGGACTCTCTCGTTGCCTAACAACCACTAAATTGCCGGGTCCCTATTAGCTGGTGGCGACCTCTAGGCGGAGCTTGTTACTCTATGGGGGAGCTAGGTGTGGCCGACCCAGAAGGCGGAACTGGCTCTCGTTGTTGGCGCATGCGTGAGGTGCTGTCTGGAAAGGGAACCAAGATAGGGAACCAAGATAGGGGTGGAGCCTTCCCTGTGAGTGGCATCTCGTGGGCGGGACCTGAGTGCGGAACCAGCGTAGTCAGCTGTCGGTTGAGACCTCGGCTGGGCCTGGTTTGGGGGGCAGGACAGGGGCGCGGCCCTGGATCCGAGCGGAAGCCATTGGTTGGTGCGCGGCGAGGGGCGTGGCGCGGGGGGCCACCGTTGGTTGGCCGGTAGCAGGTGGGGGTTGGCCATGGCCCTACTACTGTGCTTGGGGTTGACTGTCGCGCTGGCCCGCGGTTGCCTTCATTGCCATAATAACTTCTCGGAGAAGTTCTCCTTCTACCGCCACAACGTGAACCTCAAGTCTTGGTGGGTGGGTGACATCCCTGTCTCGGGGGCTCTGCTCACCGACTGGAGCAAGGACACGATGAAGAAGCTACACTTAGCCATCCCGGCGGAGATCAGTGAGCGTGGAGCCCAAAGTGGGGAAGCTCCACGGTCATATGGGACCCCCCTGGGCCTAGCAGGGTGGCTCACCTGCCTCCTCCTCCCGCTCACAGCCCGTGAGGATCTGAACCAGGTGGCTGAAACTGTGTATCGGAAGATGGATCAGCTGTACCAGGGGAAGATGTACTTCCCTGGTAAGGCGCGGGCAGCTGAGGCAGGGAGGGACCTCTTAACCTGCCCACCCACGCTGCCGGAGCTTGAACTTCCTCCTCTGCCTCTGACACCAGGATATTTCCCCAATGAGCTGCGAGTCATCTTCCGCGAGCAGGTGCATCTCATCCAGAATGCCATCATCAAAAGTGAGCTGAGGAGGGGACAGGACCAGAGCCAGGAGAGGGTGTCAGGGACCCCCAGGGCAGGGCCCTGCTGGGGACCGGGACTCAGAGCTGGCAGCTGCCCTCAGGCAGAGGGGGAAGGGAACAGCACCCCAGAAGCACCTGCCAAACTAATCCCCTGGAAGGCCTAGGGGTGTTGCAATCCCCCTCCTTCACTCTGGGGGCCACCTCAGGGACCCTCTTCCCTCGGATTCTGAAATCCAGGTGTGCCCATGCCCTGTGTGGCTGAGGGACAGGCCCTGAGCCTCTGGGCAAAGCCAGAGGTGGGTTTGGTTCTGGTAAGAAGTGGCATCCTTAGCTGAGCATGGTGGACGCCTGTCATCCCAAGTCTGGGAAGGTGAAGCAGGAGGATCACCAGTTCGAGCCCAGCCTGGGAAAATTAGTGACTCAGCAATGCCTTGACTCAAAATAAAACCTGTATTTTGAGGATATAGCTCAGTGTGAAGGCCCTGGGTTCAATCTCCAGTATTGCAAAAACAATCAACAAAAAAATGCTTGTCCCATGCCCCCACAGGACAAATTGACTGTCAGCGTCACTGTGGTGAGTGATACCTGGTCCGGGCTGAGGGGCAGAGTGAGCAGTGCAGGTCTGTCCCAGAGGCCCAGGGGAGCCCGCTGATGCCTCTCCTGTGTTGCAGGCATCTTCCAGTACAAGACCATCTCCTGCCACAACTGCTCTGACTCGCACTTCGTCTGCTTTGGCTACAACTGCGAGTAGGGCTGGCACCCTACCTTCACAGCAGGCTCTGGGCTCAGTGCTGGGTAGGGTGGGGCCTGGGGCAGTGGGCGTGGCCACCTCTAATACCCCTGTCCTCACAGGTCCTCGGTAGAGTGGGAGAGCGCTGTGCGGGGCCTTCTCATTTACATGTGAGTTGGGGTCTTTGGGCAGGCATATGGTGGGGAAACCGATTGAGGCCTCTTGGCCCCGACTCCAAACTTGCTGTCACTGCAGATCTAATTGCCACAAGTAAGTCCCCCACCCTCCAATCCAACACAAGTTTTGTCAGAGGCACTGTGTGTGTATGAGTACCTCAGGGGTACGTGGGGTTGGAGGGGCTCCTGGGGCCTGCAGAGGTGCAGCAGGGAGGCAGGACCTCATCCTGTCCCAGCCGGTACAGGAGGCAGCCCCAGGTCCCTTCTCTTCAGGGGCTCAGCTGAGCTGGAAGGGACAGAGCATCTGGCTAACGTGTCCCCAGAGTCTAGTCTACCCTAGCTGGGTGCAGTGGCAAATGCCTGTCATCCCAGCACTCTGGGAAGCTGAGCCAGGTAGCCTGCAAATTCAAGCCCAGCCTGAGCAACTTAGGAATTTAGTGAGACCCTGTCTTTAAAAAAAAGGGGGGGGGGCTGGAGATGTAGCTCAGCATGAAGACCCTGGGTTCCAGTACTGGACAAAAAAAAAAGAGTCTAGTTTATCCTGAGTCAGTGGCACAGCTGTGGCCAACGCCCCAGAGGAGGAACCTAAGAACCAGGCGCACAGCCTGGGCCCCAGAGCTGGGGGTCTGACCTGAACCCCGTGTATCTTTCAGACAGGACACCAGCACGAGGTAAGGCCCAGCCTTCGGAAGAGGGGAGTGGGGGAAAGGGTGGTGCGGGGTCCTCTGGGTCAGTGAGGACAGATGGACAGGGGTGTTGGGCAGGGTGGGCACTGTGGCCAGGGCTCTCTGTGCACCTGGGACTGCCAGCCACCTGTTCTGCCACCTCACCCATGTAACACCGTGTGGTCATCTCATGAACAAACCTCGCCTCCTTCCTCCTGCATCTCCTCGCCTGGGACACCCAGAACCACCCCAGCCTTGTGAGTGACCCAGAGAGGGAGGTGATGTAGAAGCAGGTGGCCCCAGCTTGGAGTGCACAAAACCAGAGATCCCAACACACCTGCCACTTTGCTGCAGACCTCATCATGTCCTGTCACACACAGACCCAGTCACCTGGGTGATGGGGAAGGACAGTGGGGCACTCCACGTGGTGCTTTCTTGGGGGACACAGCTGTGCACAGGACCATACATCCCAGCTGAGAGGAGGCCCAGGGCTCCTGGGCAGAGATCAGCCAGGGAGGGAAGGTGAGGAAGGCCTGAGGGTCCTGTGTCCCCCATAGCCTATCACCAAGCATCTTGTGTCTGGAGCCACAGCGCCTGGTCAACCTGACCTTGGAGGACACCTTGAAGTGTCTGACAGGAGCTGCTGCTGTGGAGACTGGGACTCAGCTGGCCTGAACTGGCCTGTCGCTCTGGCTTGGGTCCCCATCAGCTCCCAGAGGGCCCAGGCTGGGCTGGGGTGGGGGCAGGGGGCGGGTTTGTGTATAGCGTCAGCCCCCGGGCAGGGCCACCATGCCATTTATGACAATTAAAGTGCCTGACATTTCTCACAGAGGGACAGTTCTTGTGCCATCAGGAGAAACAGTTCACGGGGCTTAAGAGCAGGTGGTGGGACTTGGAGGAGGCCTGAAGGTCCCTGTCTGAGCACAGGGGTGGATCCAAGCCCCAGGTCCACAGATTGGGGAATGGAGAGCCTGGGCTGATGGGTGGGAGGTGCATGTGAGGGACCAGGGGTCCCCAACATTTCACCCTGGCCCACGTTGGCAAACTTGGGCAGGCTCATGGGAACTGGGTTTTTCCTCTTTTTGGGGTACTGGGGATGGAACCAGGGCCTTGTGGATGCTAGGCAAGGGCTCACCACGGAGCCACACCCGCAGACCTTTTCTTAGCCTTACTAAATCGCCCAGGCTGGTCTTGAACTTGATCCTCCTGCCTCCACCTCCCAGATGGCTAGGATGACAGGTGTGTACTACTGCAAACAGCAAGGAATTCTTTTTGATGACACAGAATGAGGCTGTAGTTGGGTGAAGCCAGGTCAGCTTTCAATGTGGTGTTCAGGTCACGTAAGCTGGAGCGAGGCTAAAGGAGCAGGAAGCTCAGGCCTTGCGCATCCTTTCTGGGCAGCACCAACACTGAGCAGCTGCGGCCCGGATCCAGGTGGGGTGGCAGAGAGTGTGTGAACAAGTGCCCGGCTCAGGGCTCAGTCCTCTTTCCTTCTCTCTGACCTGGGCTGGGTGGTTTCCTTGCTGACTTTAGCTGCCCATCCTAGGGGACTGTTGGGCCCGTGAGGGTTTTGAGATTCCACCTAGTGCTTTTCTGCCTGCATTCCCGGGAGGCATGGGCATTATGTGGACCAGCACACAGCAGGCTCCTGAGGTCTGCCCTGCCTGCCACACGGACTAGGAAGTCAGAGCCCCACTCGGGCTGGGCACCCACACATGGATGCCAGGAACCACTGGAAGCCAGCCCTGCCCTCAGTGGCCATCAGCTAAGCAGGACTGCTCATCACATCGCGTCCGTGCCTCTACTGACCAATGCTGACCTCTGAGGGTCCTTGGCAGCGTGGGGGTCAGGGCAACAGAGGCCCCTGGGTGGTGTTTGCAGCCAGCATGGTTTCCCAGAAGAGGCGTGGCATGCGACAGGCAGCCAGAGTCCAGCAGTCCCTTGATTCCCCGGGCCTGTCTTCTGCTGACCAAGCCGACTTTGTTCCACTGTTCCTGGTCTACTTGGAATCAGTGAGGCCAGTTGCTCTTCCATGCCCTTTTGCAGCCTCTGATCCCACTCCTCACAGCCCAGAGCCGAGGGTTCCCCAGGAAAGGCAGAGCAGGCAACAGCACCCTGTTCGTGGGTCAGAAGTCTGGACAGTGTGAAGGGGACCTGTCACCTCTCAAGGGGCCATGAGCCATAGTTTTAGCACCTTGCGACCCCGAGCTCGGTGCTGACAGGCAGGAGACGTGACATGCTAATGTTTGTTTTGCAACTTTATTGGATCATCTTGACACAAAAATCATTACAGCAGCGTGATATGTCTCTCTTCTTTATACGGGAATGTCGATAGCAAATAGTTATGTAACACATCATACAATTTCAGAGTTCTAGAATCACGGCACGGGATTCTGTAATAGATTATTCTACATGCTAAAGTGACAACTGTCATCAAAAGGAACAGGTAGGACGCCATGGGTAGCGTCATCTCTGAGGAAGGTCTGGAGTGACCAGCAAGGGCCCTCACCCCGCCAGCGGCTGCTGTGCCGGAGGTGGTGTTTTGGGGTCTAGCCAGAGGACACGGGCAGCTGTGTCCTCCCGTAGCGCTCCCAGTCCCACCTGGACGCCACACAGGGACAAGCCTTATGGTGCATCTGGTGACAAGCTTGGGGCAGGGAACCGTACAGTGTCGCCACCACACACCCAGCGGCCCGCATACTTCTGTGGAATGAGAGAAAGAACCACGGTCCCCGCCCTCCCTATCAGCAACTCTGTGCATGGCCAAGCCTGTGTCTGGGGTCCCCGTCCTGGCCGCCAGCTCCCAAGCATGTAGACAGCAGCTAGTGCCCACAGGATCCTTTCCACCACGGGCCCAGGGGACAGCAGCTCAGTGACAGTTGCCTGTCACCTTCCCGCAGATGCCACCGGTCAGGACGGTTGGGGCAAAAGCAGCCAGCAGGGGTTCCACGAGCCCTGCCCTGTCTGCCGAGCACCCTGGTGCCCACCAGGTCCCAGCCCGGGGGTTCTACTACTCCCTGGTGGCCCCCATGGCAGAGCTGGGGGAGCCTTGTTGAGGAGGGGCCAGCTGGGGCCTCTGGAAAGACCGCGGACAACCAAAAAGATACATCAAAGCAACACAGACCTTGGGTGTCTGCACAGTGGACGACGGTGGATTAAATTAATGCTGTGGCATGGGACAGCACGCATGACAGAGGAGAGGCCAGGAGTGTCCTTCCGCGTGTCTGTGCATCTGTCCATGGAGGCGTCCTCTGTGGGGGTCGGTGGCTCTCAGCACTGGGCCAGTGTCGCCTTCATCTCCTCCAGCAGGTTGCTCAGCAGGGTGGAGTCGCTGCACTTCCCGTCCACGGACACCGAGTGCTCGCCCTGGTGGGGAAATGGGACCTGGCTGCCTTGCCTCCCGCCTGCAGTCCCTGCCGTCCCTGACCCTCTATGCTTTTCGCCTGGTATTGGGAGTGAAGGCAGGGCCTCCGCCTTGAGCTGCCTCCCTGGCCCATTCTGTTCTTCATCTGGAGATGCTTTCTGGAGTATTATTGCTCCAGTGATCCTGAGGTGAGAAAGGCGACAGGAGAAAGCACACTGCCTCTCTCTCCCCCACAGAGCAGACACAGAGACCACCTGCAGTCCTGAGGAGCCATCAGGAGGACCCGGGGGCCCTTAGGCCTTGTGCCTTCCACCTTGGCCATGGGGCAGGGGTTGGGTCCTCACCTTCTTCACCAGCAGGCAGACATGGTGGCCCTGGATGGAGCGGCTGTACATGGAGGCGCAGGAGTCCACTCGCTCCACCACTGCAAGGGAACCAGCGCTGAGCCTGAGCAGGGTCCCCAGAAACCAGGCCATAGGCCAAGGTCGAGAATGGAGAGGCAGCCTGGGCCCGGGTGGGGTCTGTGAGGCAAGGCAGGGTGGCTGAGCCCGGTCGTCAATGCTATGCTCAGAATCAGTGGCATTACATCCCTTACCAGAAAAGTGGTGGTGAAAACAGATCTTTGCCAGAAGGTTCTGGAAGGACATACTGATGCCATCAACTTTGATTGAGCTCATGCTCAGGTCCCCAGACTCCAGCAGCTTGGCAAAGGCATCACTGTGGAAAGGACAAAGGAATGAAGGGACCCAGACACAAATACCCCCCAGGAGGAGTGCCTGGGGCCCTGGAGGTCTCTGAGGGTCTTGTGAAATGTTAGGGGCTAAACTGCATCCTCACAAAAATCCCTACACTGGGGGCCGGGGATTCAGCTCAATGGTTTCACTGCCTGCTGCGTAAGCGCAAGGACCTGAGTTCGATCTCCAGTACCAGAAAAAAAAAAAAAAAATCCCTACACTGAAGCCGTCACCCCAGGGCCTCAGAATGTAACTGTATTTGGACTCAGGGCCTCTAAAGAGGTCACTGAGGAGCCAGGTACTTGTCACATGCCTGTTATCACAGGCTGAAGCAGGAGGACTGTACGTGTTTGGGCCCAACAAGGGCATCTTGAGTGACTTAGCAAGACCCTATCTCAAAATAGAAAAATAACATGGGCTAGTAATGCAGTTCAGTGCAAAGGCCTTAGGTTCAATATCTTGTATTGCAAAAAAAAAAAAAGAAAGTCATTGAGGCAAAAGGTCGTTAGAGTGGGCAGCTGCTGAGTCAGGACACACATGTACAAAGGCGGAGCTGAGGGAGGGCACAGGGAAGAGTTGCCATCGGCAAGCCAAGGAGGGCGGCCTGGCCGGCTGTGAGGTCTCGTATGCACCTGTAGCAGGGTGTAGTGACCAGGTAGGAGCTGCAGCTGAAGTGCAGCCTGAAGTCCAGCTTCTCATGTGTGGCCCCATCAGCGTCCTGTGGGGTAGGAGAGGCGGCTGAGTGTGGAATCCTGGGGAGGCGCTCGCTGCCCCTGGGGATACCCAGCACCCACTGGGTGGCGTGAAAGGGAGATAGAGAGGGTGGGGCTGTGGGCTCCCAGCAGTGTGTACCTTGGCGATGAAGGACAGGGTGCCCTTGAGCTTCTGAGCCATGATGATGCTCTGGATAGTGAACACGAACTGCGCTTCATTGGAGACGCCTCATGTGGATGAGAAAGGGGTCCTGAGCTGCGGTGGGGCTCAGCTGGGCCATCAAGGTCTGAGCCCAGTGCTGGCTCTCGACTTTCCCATGGCTGGGTGGGAAGCTGGGCTCAGGCCCCAGGCAGTGGCAGGGAAACGGGCAGGAACATGGGCCACTGGTGTCCCCAAATTGGCCTGGACCTAGTCCTGACCCTGTCTGATCAGTGAAACTGTCCCAGGACAAGGGCCCACGGCCTCCGCCTGCCCTGGGGTCCTCACTGCCACCCGCTGAGGTCACCAGACCTGAGAGCAGCAATGAGACCTGAGTTTGTGGCTTCGAAGTCACCTCACGAACGAGGGGACAAGGGAGGAAGGGAAAGGAACCTATACTCACCTGGGGGCAGCTGGAAAGGCACAGGGACACCATCGTGCACGGAGGAGCCTTCTGGCCGGGCCATCTTGGCATTGAGTGAGTCCAGCACGTTGAGCTCCATGTTTTTGAGGAAGCTGCTGCTCTGGTTCTCCAGGATGACGGACACGGTGACCTGGCTATCCTTCTGCAGGCTGGCCTGGATGTCATATGTCTGTGCCACACAAGGCATGGGTTCAGTGGGGTGGGCACAAACCCTGGGGATCAGCTGGGTTGGGAGCTCATCGCCAGAGACTGCAGCACTGACAGCTGCTTTGCTGTGACGCAGAGCCACTGTGATCGCACTGTGGGAGAGGGACGGGGCCTCCGCTGACACACAGCCAGGAACATGGCTGGAGTCTGGGTGGTGCTGGGATGACAGCACCCTGGGATGA